CCAGCTGAAGGAGGGCGGCCGTGAGAGCCCATCTGTGGAGGACAGACAGCAGCGGAAACATTTACCATGTCGCTTCAATTTGAAGGAAGAATCTCCCATCACGCGAAGCTCGTGTACGCAGAGTCTGTGATGTCAAACGGACATATTTTTACTTTTTTTTTTCAAAATAATCTTTTGAGAAAATATTTAGTGACTTTCTTTTCAAATACATTTTTGAGGTTAAATATTCAGACTTTTTTTGTAAAATTAATTTTTTAGAAAATATTTTGTGGGTTTTTTTTTCAAATACATTTTCGAGCTCATTTATTTTTCATTTTTCAAAGTAAAATATTTTGACTTTTTTCCCATGACATTGTTTTGAGAAAATATTTTGTGACTTTTTTCAAATATATTCGAGCTTAAACATTTTTACTTTTTTTTACATGACGTTTTTGACCCAAAACATTTTGACTCTCTTTTCAGTCTGTCATGTGAAATATTTTGAATTTTTTTTCAAAAATGTTTTTGAGAAAATATTTTGTGCCTTTTGACATCTTTCAAAGGGAGAAAATGTCTTTCCATGTCTTTCTTTGTACCTCTACTTCCTCATGTTGCTTTTGACCATTTGTTTGTTTTCTCAAATAAATACAATTTTTGGCATAACTCTAGAAACAGCCCTGATTAACTTGTTTGTTTTATGAGCTTTGCTCATCATCAGCTTTATAACAGAAGTGTGCTCTTTGAAGTACAGGATTAATCAACCGACCGAGATTTTACTTTTACTGAATTCCGGAGAGTTAAGCTCCGGAATGAGAGTTTAATTAAGGCTGCTGTCACCCCATTTGCGGCTAGCAGATTATTTTTATTACTTTATGGCTTCTAAGGTTTCTGCTTCCTCTCCACTAACAACATCAGCACACCCAAACAAATAGTCTCCAGTAGTTTGCAATGTTGTTAATGAGTAAAGCATCAAAACCTTAAAGAATAAACAAACTGCATAATATGGCAGCATTGGTTTGTAATTTGGGTGAATCGCCTCTTTTCAAGTGAAGTGTTGTTGTCTCAGCATTGTGTCGCTCAGCAGCGTGCTTAGAGAACGCATTCAAAATGGTTTGTCGATCAATTTCACTCTCCCGCAGTTACAGCCCCACCAGCGAAGGCAATTACCGCTCAGATCGAACCCCACAACGACAACAATCAGCTGGTGTTTGTGAGGAAAACAGCCCACGCGGCTGGAAACGGGGGTCCTGAGGCAAAGAGGAACGAGAGCTTCATGTTTGCACATCTCAACGTGCTTCTTCTCACACGTCTGCCTCCCTCACTGCTCTGATGGGAGGTGCGACCTCTGTCTTTGAGGAGGTCACCGGCGATGGATTCAAGCAGATCAACGTCCCCCCGCAGAGATGTGGCATTTTAAATCCTAAAACCACAATCAATCCCAAAACCTGCTGCAGAGCTGGAGCCTCCCAGATGTCTTCGCAGGCGGCAGGAGAGATATCTGAAACATTTCTCGCGCATTGAGGGCAGATATGTGTTTCCCGTGGACGCCATGCACCGTGGCAGTGAATGCGTTATCAGATTCTGGAGACCAGCAGCCGGGAGAGCAGAAAGGTTTCCACTTTCTCCCACATGAAACGCATTTTCACAGCACAATTAACAAAACCCTTTTTTTCCTCTGACAAATGTCTTCTCACATGATAGCGCCGATGAAAGAATCCGTTGCAGAGGTAACCCAAACCCCTCCAAGATCTGGTTAACCAGACGAATGCTGCTGACTTTGTGTCCAAATGTTTTATTTTGGTTGGTAGTGTGTGTGATAAATGTTGCATGATGTTTGCATGATGTTTGTTTGCTGCTTTTTTTTGGCATTTGACTGCAGTGAGCTCTGGATCAGTGGGTTGAATCACAGAGGCCAGATAATCAGACTGTGAGTTCAAACAGAATGTCTGTGTGTGTGCGTGTGTGTGTGTCTGTGTGTGTGTGTGTGTGATTGATGGATTGTGTTTGCGGCTCCGGAGAGCACAGCAGATGCTCTCAGTGCAGCACTTTGCTGTCAGAGGGCCGTCGTCATGACTCATTTCCTCTCTGCTTCTCTCTGCTAACAACACCTGAAGCTGTAGCGCGTTAATCGCAGTACAGCAACGAAAAGGCCTCAAGCGGCAAATCAGTGAGAATCAAACAGAGATGTGACACAAAGTAACTCATGACGTTTTAATTCAGTTTGGTCATTTAAACGGTCTTTCTCCTGCATTCATTTCGGCCTCTTCTGTTTTTGATGAAGCTGCTCCGCTCTCCATTCTCCTTCTGTTCATGCGCTCGTGCTCACCTTTATTTTGTTAAGCACCTTGAACTCAATTTGTTCAAGTAGTCGCGGCCATTATTTTGCCATTTTGCAAGAACGCTTGCTGATTCCATTAAAGAGTCTGACGGGACGACGAGTTACTTATGATGATAATAATATTCAGACACTTTCGTAACGTGAGCTGTTCCCACCAAAGTGTGTGAAAACATCCGCGTGCAGAACCGCTGACTCCTCACCGAGAGAAGATCATCGCGTTGGTGTTGTTTCTTCTTGCTGACAAGCCACAGTCCATCTGATTGTCTCTTTGTGGTTCCTGTCCCCCATTTAGGGGACGGTTCCTCCCTCCTCGGCTGTGCGTCGCTGCCCTTCTGTTTGACATTTCTATCAGAAGTTTGCGGGATGAAACGCTTCGCAGCAGCTTCTCGGTGAAGCGAAGAATCAGAGCTGCTTCTCTCTAAATATTACATAGGACCCGTCTGAGAGGACACGCCTGAATTAATCATCACTTATGCAGCGTGTGATCATGAGCTTTGGCAATAAGAAGCTACAGTGTCTCACCTGCTGAAACATTCATTGTATTGAGCCTCTACGTGTTGAGACGTGTGTTGGAAAACTGCTTCTTTACCGGCTTCATTTCTGACTTTCTGCAGAACCTGCAATGGAGCTTCCACCAGAAAAAAAAAACCTGGTTTCTAAGGGAGCAGTAAATCCGCTGCTACCTGCTGAGGACAAACCTTTTCATTCTGCTTTTATATCACGCAGGTTTCATTCTTGCTTTGGCCCGGAATGGCTGTGTAGACCCCCCACGAGGAAAGTGTGGACTTTACCCCTGAGCGATTAATGATACGTTGCAATTGAAAGGGCAATTCTTATTATTCTCGCCCCGATATGATTGAGGTTGAAAAGGTGACTGAATTTTCGAGGCATCAAACCTCGGCCCCCCGCGTGGAAGGAGAGGTTCTCTGAAACAACCACTTCTATTGTTATGACAATAATGGGCGGCGTTAATGGGGGGGGGGGGGGGCCCTGCAGACTTGTAACCAGTGTTATTTTCCACTTTGCACAGTAATGTGCATCACAATGGCCGTTATGAACCTGACCTTCACGGCGTCATTTCTTTTTTCTTTTCGGTGTCAGACGCCCGGGTTTGTCCCGCAAACATTAATATTTATGCGTCGGCTGATCATCTTCTGGAAAATATTCAGCCCCATAATTGATGTACGAGTAGTTTGCCGAGTCTCATCTCCCGTCACAATGAGCTTCACGCAGACAGATGATGACAAGCTGTGGCGTCGGGAGGGAAGTTGCCTTTGCGTTGACCGCTGATTTTCTTTTTGGAAAACTTGATGAGATCGCCGAAGGTTTTCACACAACAATGTGCTTCTGAATTTCTGAGTGTTTCTGTTACAACACCTCATTAATATTCAAAAGTGCAAGCCCGCAGAGCTGGAGCCTCTTTTTTCTTTATTTTATAACGAACCTCAGCGGCTGTGCCACCAGTTATTCCCATTTCCTGTCCAAACATATTAAAAGGAGGGATTGTTATGCATAAATCAATTTGGCGTCCTCAGATAATTCTGGGGGTTTTTTGTAGAAGGAGCCAGCTTGAAAGTCATTGCCAAAAATCAGAAACCACAAAAACTAGTAGAACTATTTGGGGTTTTAATACTTTGTTCTTCTTTAGAACAGTATTGGCAAGTGTTTTACCACTTAACTACAAGTCTTGGAATATGACTTAGAAATGTTTGGGGGGGAAGTTAATTGCCTTCTAAGAGCCAACGGTGTATATTAAAGTAAAATCCACAAAGATTTCCATATGCAGCTGTGTCTGGAGAAGGGAGGGCGAGTCAACTTGCCCTCACACAGGCGCTCGAATAAAGGAACTGTGTGTGTTACCCTCATCTTAACCTTGGTTCTTATCTCAACTTGGTTTGCAACTTCTCGTACCTGCCACTGAGGACGGCCTTCACACGCGTGTATAAAAACTCAGGGATTTTACTCCTCGGAGACGCCATTTCCACAGAGCACTGTAATATGTGCTTGTGTATTTGACCTCCCGCTTGCAAGCAATAAATGGACTTTTGCAGCATTGATCATTCCTCAAGACTCCTTTTTTTATTAAACCTGAAATCTGTGTTTTTTTTATCAAATCGGGAAAAGAGCAGTGCGTTAAATAACCAAATTAATTATACATCTACAAAAAAGCACATTTCTTGTTTTAAATGGAATTTTTGTTAAACAGCTGAAAGCCAAACAAATAATTGTCTCGCGGATAATGTGATGAAAAGTGCCCAAAGATTTAATTAAGTGCAGGGACTGGATTTTTAGTAAATTGTGGAGATTTGCATAAATTGTTCTGTGAGAAAATTGTCTGTGAGCTGAAAAGTTGATATGCAAGATACAAAAGAATAAAAAGTGCAATCTTGTCTAAAGAAAGAGTGCAGTGGTCTGAGATAAGATACTAAAATGCACGAGGAAGTGAAATGGGATGTGCTTCTTTTGACCTACAAAATGGGTATAAAATGCACAGCTAATTGAAAAATGATCAAACAAGAGGGAAGCCAACATGTTATTTTTTATCAAACATTACCACAAACATAGGTAATTAGTGCAATTATTTCGGCAGTAGTGCAGAATCTGTCGATCGATGGTTCTTGGCCTGTAGAGGGCGGCCTGCAGCGGCTCATCCAACCGGAAGCAGGAGAAGGGACACGTGACATTTAACCGGAAGTAAATAACCTGCTTTCGCGCGCAGTTAAATAGATGAAACGAGACGTCCGCATTCAACAAAATGGACGAGCTTTATTTGGATAATATCGACGAATATGTCAACGACCAAGATAAGATAGTGAGTGTATTTTATGTCCGTGAAGTATTATTATATTTTCTTGACGTCATGCGGGTCGACGTACCGACAACTTGCGGTCGTTAGAGCCGCCTTGACCCGGTGCGATTAGCCGTTGTACCCCCTCCAGTAAACTACCTGTTTACGGGTTGCTTCCTTCTGGTTAATGCATTTATTTGCCATGATATGGTTTAAAACCATCCACGACTTGTTTTCCGCCGTGTGGTTAATTCGGCGTATGAATGATCTAAAAAAAGAAACCCATCTGTACGTTAAACGTAGTTTCAGCTCGTGCTGCTCGTCGAATTAACGCGCAACGGCCGCGGTTTTTTTAAATGAAGGAACATTGTAGTATTTATAAAATGTTGAACAAGACTCCGATATAATTCATATATAATTAAAGTTAAGTCAAAGCAACCGTTTATTGTGACAAATTAAAAGCTGATGTTATGTTAGTTAACATCAGTCATTGTTATTTTTTTCTTGTCAGTTAAGAAGGAATCAACCAATGGTGACACGTGTTTTCTGTCACGTGTTTTCTGTCCAACAGGTGACGTATAAATGGCTGAGTCTCACTCTGGGAGTCCATGTCAACACAGCCAAACAGTGGGTGCTCCTACGCCTCCTTACACTGCGCCGAAATGCAGATGTGGTGACCGGCCCAGCTGACCAATGAATATGATCGATACGCATCACGTGGTTACATGTTTATGAGCTAACTGGAAACACAAAGAACACGGCAAACACCCTCAGTGATTACATATATAAGAAAAACGTCCTGCTTCTCCATCCTCATCCAAATAACATTTGATGCAGTATGATGTCACCATTATAAGAGAGTTAAGTGAGTTGATAAAATGAAGCTGCTACTGCTTAAAATGGTTAAAATGCGTGTCTTGTCTCAGAATGCTCTACCATTATTTGGATCACAAGAGGAAGGAAAGTTCCGCTCCGCTCCATGCCACCTATTTGGTGTCGGGGAAGTTTGTGCACAAAGGCCAACCGGTGAGAAATGCAACAAATGGAACAAGACTTGCTTGTTTCTTTGTACAAGGACTGGATTTTCATATTGTGTTGCCGATCTTGTGTTTGTTCTTAGAGTCACCGGGTGTCCGTTGTCAAAGAGGACCAGTTGGAAGGTGTGTTGATTACCGATTTCTTTCTATTCGGTTTATCAACGGTGATGTCTTTGGTTATCTAACCTCGTGTGTTTTCTCTGTGTCAGATTTCAAATCCAAAATGAGCTTGATCGTCAGCGTCCACGTCTACAGTGTCCAGAAAGCGTTGCTGAAGGACAGCGGCCCGCTTTACAGCGTCGACTATGATGCTGTGAAGGACAATCTGAAGAACTGCAGCAGGTGCGTCGGTCACGTGCCACGATGCCAGACGACTGTTCCCAAAAAAACGGCCCAAATGTTCACATGTTCCCTAGAAGGCTCACTTTTCCTATCCTGTTTTGTACATAGCTCAGGCTGCTAGTAGTGCTTGTGTGGAGTGGCCCATCAGAGTAAAAGAAAAGGTCTCCTCCGCTTGCAGATACAGCGCGATCAGCTGTGCGGATGCCGTGCCCGTGTCCTCGGCGCTGCAGGCGAGAGACGTCCAGCGAGCTCCGACGCCGGAGCCCGAAAACAGAAAGCTCTGCGCCAATGGAGACGCCGACGTGGCTTCCAAACCTTCCACCAAGCCGCAGAAAGGCATCATGGGAATGTTTGCCAATAAGTCGGCTCCCAAGAAGCAGGATAGCGGCAAAGCCGTTACGTCGGAGCAGAAGGAGGACGCGCCTGTATGTCTCTGTAGTCTCCAGTGTGGTTTACTGATATATACAAAGGAATAAAGTAATCAGAGTAAATGGTTGAACTTTTTCTTCTTGTCTTGGTTCTGCCGTTTGGTGTTTTTAGGTCGATGCCGCCAAAAGTAAACCAGAAGCAAAAGCCAATCCTATGACGAACTTCTTTGGTTTGAGTCAAGCAGCAAGTGAGTATAAATGTTTCTGTTTGGTAATAGACCAAAGTATAAGCAGGATGACGGACTCCAAGGGGCCGTCATCGGGAACTAAAGGTGGTCGGGCGTTATCCTCTCCCTGACCTCCACGATTTCTACCTAAACACCGATGGCTTTCTTTAGAGAAACCTGTGACGCACGAGGAAGCAGCTCGCTCATCATCATCATCATCAGCAGCAGCAGCAGCAGAGCAACAACGTCCGGGAGAAGAGAAGAAAGCTGCTGCTGTGGAGCTGCCTAAAGAAGCCAAGAAAGACTCCAGGAGGTGTGTGTTTTTCACTCAAGAGGGGAACTAAAAAGCCTTTTATTCAAATGCAAATTGAAGTGAATGATTTGTATTCAAGACTTTGGATAGAAACACAGACGGGACCAAGACACTTTAATTTAATGACCGACTGTAGAAATGCAAAAGCTTTAAAAGCTTTTGCATTTAACGGGTTTTCGCTGATCGACTTGCTTCAGCAAAGTCTATTAAGGCTTTAAATATATTCAAATAAAAGTTCTTCCTCCTTGAAGCAAAAGCAAGCGGCTCGTGGATTCAGACAGCGAAGAGGAGAAGATGGAAAAGAAAAAGAGACGAAGGATCAAGAAGCCCGAGCCGGAGAGCAGCGACGAAGACGGTGAACCTCCGTTTTTTTACATCTGCCCTCAAAATACACGCAAATAGATAGTTGGTTTATTTCGTAGGAGACTAATCTAAATAAACTTGTTCTTCAGTCATTCCGGATTCTCCTCAGCAGATGGAAACCAGAGAACCATCGCCGAGTCCAAAGAAGAAGGCGGAGCCGCTTTCTCATTCTCGTGTACGTGATTAAACCTGGTGATCAGATAATAACGTGTCTTTAATGCTGTTGGTCAGTGATCAAAGGCTCTTCATGTAGTCAACACCAAATCGCTAACTGAGCGTTCCTGTTCCTTATGTGATTTTATCTCCTCAGCAGGGGAAGTCTGAGACGAAGACGAGGAAGAGGAGACGAGTCCTCAAATCTAGGACCTCTTTAGATGATGAAGGATGCATGGGTATGACATAAATATATACATATAGATCAATGAATTAAAAGTTCACATTCTATCTACAGCACATCAGGATAACAATGCTTTGTAATAACGACATTTATTCTACGACTGATTTGCTCCCAAAATAATGATACTACGCTAAACATTTTTGTTCTTTATTTTTTATCAATTTGAAAAAGTTTGAGATGTTGTGTGTAGAATTTTGAGGCTGTAACACAAAATCCCCCGGCTTCGTCTTTTTCCTCCCTCAGTGACCGAGAAAGGCTACGAGAGTGAGTCGTACTCGGAGGCAGAGGACGACGCTCGCGCCTCCAAAGCTGCAAAAGGTCTCGTCCCTGCAAAAGCAGCCCCGAGTACCAAAGCGGACGAGAAGAGAAGTCAGAAGAAAACGCCTGCAAGCGCAAATAAAGGCTCTAAACAAGCGTCGATCATGGGCTTTTTCCAAAAGAAATGAAGCGTTTTGTGTTGGGACAGAAGCACAAAGACTGTGAAGAAGACCTGGTGAAGGTCGAAGCTGAGACGCACCACTTGGACGATGGAGGGACGCATCTCCTCAAAAAGACATGGACGTGTCCAAACTAGAAGGACCAGCATCTTACGCTCCACCTTCCCACTGATAGATGTCCGACTCAATAAAGATTTGAATACTGAAACATGACGTGTTTAGTTTATTCCAGTTTGAAAAAACGTTTGTCTGTTAGAATCAAATGAACATCTCTGAATGAATTAGAACAGTTGGGGGGGAGAGGGGGGAGGCACTAGGTCGTCCCTGCTGACGTGTTCAGTTCAACGGCTGTTTCTGCTTCTCCGTTGGTCCAAGTCAGATCTTCAGCAGGACGACAGAGAACAGACAAGCGCTGGAAAACACACACAGACTAAATCACTTTAATGGTCATGAGACTACTGGACATTCACACGTCTTTCATATCATCACTAAACATAAATAAACATTAGGCTCTTTTTGTTGAGGCAGAACGGCCTCCTTTGAACTCTGACCTGTCGGATGGTTCCGGCTGTGAAGCACATCTGTCCAGCTGCCCACAGCGGCACCATGACGACCGAGGAGAGCGTCATGGTCCATCCCAGTGCGTAGGCCCAGTCCGGGTAAACGTACTGGTAGATCCTGAGGTGTTTATAATCCAGCAGGTACAGGATTAAGGCAATCTGTGGAGGACAGTCTTTAATACAACCTTATTCTGCGCAAACGTGTCACCAGTTTTTAGTTCTAAATGAATCCCGTCTTTGTGTGTAACCCCTTAACTCCATGCGCAGTTCTACCGGACCAGCTAGCGTGGCCGTGGACCCCAAACCTCCTGCCAGAACCTTTCTGACTCACCAGGGAGAGCAGAGGAATGATGTATTTCCAGCAGAGTTTGAAGAAGCCAGACGGCCGCTGTCCTGTCATGTCCTCAATGACGTCCATTAAACGATCCGCACCTGATTCACGTACCACAAGTTACTAATTCACATCACCGTGTGGCCAAAATAAGACGATGTGGATGATGTGTGTTCTTACCAAAGGTCCAGGCCAGAGCCAGACACTCGGATAAAGCCATGAAGTAGTGACACGCCCTGGTCATGCCATAGTAATCGATGAGGTGGAACACGTAAACCCCTCCCTGCGGACAATGCAGACACTGTTTTTTAATACGATTTCGCGACAGTGTACGTGTGAAAGCACGCCGGTGGAAATATGTCGTTCACCTCAGTGACCATCAGCAGATGTAGGAGGTAGAAGGAGCAGCAGATGAAGAGGACGAGCATCTCGTGTCTTCCTGCTTTACGGAACAGCTTGGGGAACAAGTCGCCTATCGAGGTGATGAAACACTCCACTGCCACGAACTGGGGGGCAAAACAGTGAGCGTAGAAATCATGTGTCCGCCTGCAAGTAATTGGTATTTAATTCAAACTTAATACAGCAGAAACTTCTTACGTGTGAGTCAACAGTGAGCAGAATGAGCATCAGGAAGAAACAGAAGGTCCAGAACTGGGGGAGAGGCATCATAGCTGTCGCCTGCGGGTAAGCAATGAAGGCCAAACCCGGACCTGTGAAGCCGCAACGGACAACAAGACATCGTTACTCCTTCCCGGACCTCACACGGAACTTCTTCTTTGTGTCACATCGAGTCTCTACCCGACTCCACCACGGTGTCCACGGTAACGCCCTGTTTCTGAGCCATGAAGCCGAGGACGGAGAAGACGACAAATCCAGCAACGAAACTGGTCCCACTGTTGAGGAGACTGAGCCAGAAGCAGTCCCTAGAGGTCACGGAACGACGTGCACGTCAATGAGATGAGGTCGGCCTTGCAAATTGTTTGAAAAATCTTAAATGGTAGTGTAAACTGAGTATGGATTTTGTGGAATTTCTGGTGCGTCACTATTTCTGTTTATTCTGCCGTTGGGCTCGTTGCATGTAGCTCTTACTTTAAAAAAAGAGAACATTTCGTCCCTTCCTACACACTTGAAAATGAAAGCATTCTAACTCTAGTCTTTGTTTATGCAGTTTGTACTTACTTATAACAGTTGTTGCTGTACTCATTGTAGCTTCCCAGCACAATCAGAGTCCCTGCAGTCAGACTGTAGGAGAAGAATATTTGAGATCCTGCTTCTATCCAGACCTGTTATAACACAAACAGTACATTGTCTTCATGTGAGCGTTATGTGCTTATATCACAACGGCCTTGAATTTCTCTTTGCACTCATGTGCACTTGACCTAGAGGCAGAAACCCTCCATCGCGCTCCTCCGGTAAAGATGTTTTTGTTGTTCGTAGTTTCCTGTTTTATTTATTTTGTGCTCCCCTGCCACACGCTGGTTTAGACCTTTTGTTTGCGAGCATCCCCCATCTGGGTGCAGAACCGAGCCAGAACCAAGTTCCAACCTGACAATTCCGTGCTCATCACAAACAAATGTAACAATGCTTCATGCTTTCAAAACACTAGAGTCTTGTCTACAATCAGAACGTATACGCTTGAAAATGCTCCACACACAACTCCAACAAGCGAACGAATATATTCAGGAGATTTGACGCGTAGACTAGTTGACATGAATTAACATTACGTTTTCATATTACACTTTTTATCATGGGTTCACCATTTTTGGAGGCCAAAAAACAGGCCGGCAACCAAAGGGTTTAAATTCACCAGTCCTCCCCTCTCAATGGGCCAAACAAGGAGACGATACCTCAAGATTTGCCAGGCGGTTCAGGTCTGGATACAGGTAGTAGTAGATCCCTTCCCAAGCTCCAGGGAGGGTGAAACCCCTGATGAGCAGTATCAGAAGCATCACATAGGGGAACGTGGCTGTGAAGTACACTACCTGGGGAAAAAAGTAGAAGTAATAATTATTATTTTGCAATTCCTAGAAGTAATGGAGATGACTAATGAACGTTTGCCGAAGAATAAAATGCACCATGATGGTTTTTAAAGGTAAAACGTTGTAATTAAAATATGACCCTTGACCTTTCCAGAAGATTTGACACCTTTCCAGATGCTGAAGTAGCAGAAGACCCAGCAGGCCAGAAGACACAAAGCCAGCTCCCACCTCACGCTGCCCAGATCCTCGATGCCGGCAGACATACCCAACACCCGCCGCCTGAGGGGGGGTAAGAGGCTGTACTGAACTTGACTGGGACAATTATATATATATTATATTATATTATCAGCAGGGATTTTGTGATCATCATTTGGTAACAAAGACATGGAAGGAAAAGTATTTGTCCAGCTGATCCAACTTATTTTTCAATGGTTCACTGTATATCCAGGTTATAAAATGTAATATTTAGAATAGGTTCTTATTAGGCATAATGCATTGAAAGTCATGCAACAAAGGGAAATTAGACTCACTCCCAGAACTCAGTAGCAGCAGAGGTGTGTTTTTTCAGCATGGTCAGATTCGCTGTCCAGTTTGATGAGGAAGAATCATTCCCATGAAGGCCCATGCAGTTCGCTGGTTTGGAGAACAAACGTGAAAACAGGTACTCTCATACAAAGCCTACAATTCTGCGTTTTCAAGCTTTAGAAATGAAATCTGACCTGTGTTCCATGAGTTCTCGCAGGTGGCCCACGGCGCCTGGGCGCTAAACGAGAACACCAAGTAAAAGAGAGCCCAGGCTTCTATAATAATGAAGCTGAAGTCGTACAGTTTCACCACTGCTTGTCCATATCCAATTCCTGAAATACCAAACGAAAACGTTATCTTTTCCACGGTTTGCTCGTAGCGAGATGAGCCTGAGACAAAATCATGTATTTTCTGCGGTTTGAGTATCATATAGAAAATATGTCTTTTATACAAACTCACCTTGGGCCAGCGGACATAATTTCCTCCAGGAGGTGACGAATCCTTCCTGGGTGTACTGACCAACGGAGCTCTCCAGTAGGAACAGAGGAATCCCACACACCATAGCGAACAGACCATACGGCACCAGAAAGGCCCCTGGGTGGTAAACAGAGATGAATGCACGTATGACGGGTTGAGTTCAGTCGAATCAGCTCTAGGTTCGGAAGCCGTGTGATTCACCTCCACCATTCTTGTAGCAGAGGTATGGAAATCTCCACACGTTGCCCAGGCCGACCACATTTCCAGCGACAACCAGGATGTATTCTGTTTTGTTGGCCCACTGTCCTCTGTCTCCGGCCCTCTTCTGATTCTCCTTTTTTCTTCTTTGTCTGTTCATCGAAAGATCGGGGACTTTGTCAGCCGTGAGTTGAAATCCAGAAGAACTGCAAACGGATCTTCTTTTACTGTCTACCGTCACGTAAGGACATGACTGGATGCCCATGTTTTCTGTTAACAGGTGACCTATAAATGTCTGAGTTTCCCTCTAGGAGCCAATACAGTCACACAGCGTGTCTTTGGTTGTCTTTAGTTTACCAATTCAAATCTATGCAGAAACGGGACAGGCCGAAGGCCACCAAACTGGCCCCACGGTTGAGTGGACTCTGCCAGAAGCCGTCCCCGGAGGTCACGGTGACCTCAGTGGTGGTGACAGTGAACGCCTTTCACAAACAGAAAATCTAATAAATGCAAAGTATGTGTGTTTTATATTACCTGAAACTAATATAGTGCTCAAGAGTAATATTTGAGCTCTGGTTAGATCAGCCTTACTTGAAACAGTTGTAGTGGAGCTCATTGTGGGATGGATTTGTCCCTGCAGCCAGGCTGTAGGAGAACTGTACTGTGTACTTCGTGTATGGAAATGCGGAACCATCGCTACCTAAATGTGAGGTCATTGACAAATACACACTCTGCAAATACATCAATATTCCAAAGACTAAGCCTAGAGCAAGCAGGAGCTTGTTTCGTATTCCATTAAAATGATCAGTTATTAATGTTTCACGTTGTCATGTTGCACTACTGCTACTGACTGCTCCTGAACAACGCTGATGTCCTAAACCGTTTTTTCTGTCTTATTTTATTTTGTCTGTTTCAGACCTATATTTCACTACTTTTCTTTCCTCTTGGCCTCATATGTTGCCTCAACGTGTCCCCCCCCCCCCCCATACAGCGACCCATGGATGCTGTGCATTGGGATGGCAGAAGTTAATGTGTGTGTCTCCCATAACCACCCGGGTGGTGACATTCTGCACACTTTATACTTTACGTATTGACGGTTGCTTCTGTTTTCCAAACTGCATTGCGGCAATCATTAGCAAACACTAACTATATGTAAGCATATGTTTCGCAGTGGTGTTGCTGGTGGGTCGCACAGGGAAATTCAGAAATATTTTATTTTAGGAACTATTTTGCCTCTCTCAAAACTAAATACAGATCTAAGGCAACAGCATGAATCGAGATGCTGCATCAAGTCTGCAACCACGTTTTGCAAAGACTTGCTGTGGAAAGCAGGCTCATTGCGGCCACTAACACTGATAAAACATGTGTATGGGATGGCTAATACACATCTGCACTCATTTTGTTCGGTTTTGCACAAGTTGCACATTACTGTTGTTGAAAAAAAATACATATTGTAATATATTATTTGCATTGTTTTAACAAGAATGTTTTATTACATTGTTTCCACTGATGTAACATGAATCCTGAGACCTTTGATACACAGTCAGGGGGAGGTTAAGGGGGTGGGGGGGGTTGTGAGGTTTCCTTTAAATATGGAACTTAGTATCAGAATACGTAAAGACGTATAAGAGTAGTGTGAGAGCGTCTCGTATTACTGAATTACCCTCCCGTTCATTCTTCCTCTCTTGTCCATGAGGAACAGTGGGCTTAGTGTGACTCAAGGACCTCAGCTCACACAGGAGCGCCACACCCTCTCGCTGCAGTGGAAGGCCAGTAGAACTGGTATTTGGATTAGCCAAGCAAATGAAAAAGGATATCGCTCACTGTTTCAGGGAGCGGCCCGAAAATGTGTTTGCCCTGGCTTTTGCTCCATTACGGCATCTGTTGAGTGAGGTCAGACGTGATGCATTTTTAGTTAAGAGGAGCTCTCGCAGCTGCCTCTCTTGATGACAGCTGAGTCACAGGCTACAGTAATGTAAGTTCAATAGCACTATTGTCCAGAAGACTTCCGTTAAATCCTCCTGAAAGCAGCTTTCCGGAAACATGTCTACCCCGCTGGATCAAAGCCGGCGTCAGTGTTTTCAAGTCTTATCACACTTTTAATCAGTGACAGATTGAAAGAAATGTATGGCTTCATTTCAAAACTAGCCTATTCTGGTCTAAACTATTCTGAAAGTTAGTTTCATTGGTTGAACTGTACAGCTTATCTGCAGATCAAGCCCTGTGTATTACTAGACTTCCAAATTGGTTTACAGGGTCTTACAGGTTGAAAAGAACAAGAACAACATAATTTTACAAGATTGCAACCATTCTTATATTGTCGATACACAGCACAGGGTTGAGGAATTAAAATGCTTTTCGTAGTCCCAGTGCTAGACTGGGGGGACATAAAAAGCAAAAGTGGATAATTGTGGAGGGTGGTGAACACTGGCTGGGTGGGTAATGTCTATTTTTTGAGCGCTTTGCAGAGATGTTTGATGACCCCTTTTTGTTGTCTGGGATGCAGACCCGGCTTTAGCTCAAATCCATGGACGTAGACGGGTGTGTGTCTTCACCTGTTATTTGTAATCAGGCCAATGACGGTAGTGTTATCAACAAACTTCACAACAGGAGTCCTCTTCAGGTTGGGGGTGGCAGTCGTGCATACCCAGAGTGAACCGGACTGGGCCGAGCACACAGCCCTGTGGTGCTCCGGTTTGGCTCCCAATCCAAATGACCTGGGGTCTGTTTGTGAACAAATGAAATAACCCGTTGCAGAGTGAGATAATTACACAGGGCCGGTATGTGCCAAATGGTTTCAAGGGGGAGATTGTGTTGAATGCTAATAGAAAATAAAGAAACATCTTGATGTACAGTAGGTGCGGTTATTTTAATATTTCCTTGCTAAATTAAATATTTGTTTCTATTATGTTTTAATCTGAATGTAATTAGTCTTTTTTGGCTCTATAAAAGTAGAAAGAAAATCAATATTTCTTTATTATTAATGTGAGTATTTAGCTAGATACGTACACAGACAATCCTATGAAGTTTTCTCTATCCATTAATTATTAATCTGCACAACAATATATATTTATATTATAATGTACAATTACTGGTACGGAGGATTATATCCAAGCACTCATTCCTTGCACGGCTAGTGCTGCATGTTAGACATTTTTTAGGCTTTAACTAGCAGTCCACTTAATTTCAAGAATATGACATAATGGGTTTTGACAGATAGAACTACCAAACAGAACATCTTTTTAAAAAGCTGTTCTCTTGGCGATCAAAATATTTTGCAGAGATCATTAAGGTAACTTCTTCTTTTAGGTCTTGTTTTCTTTTACAGAAACACTTTTACAGCCGGACGGAGCGAGGAGGGGAGCTGACGTCATCGTGCTCCACATCAGCAGGAGGGGCGAGGTGGCTGATCCGCCGGTATCATGGCTTCCTAACATTGAGAGGAAAACAACCATTTTGCTCGAATGCCCGACAGATTATCGCCCTTCACCAGAACATTGGATTGAGACAGAGGGTCTCGCCCCTCGCCCCCTTTCTCCCCCCTAAGGCCGCCCCTAGGCTCCAGGATATACTTTTTTTTTTATTGTATTGGTGAATTTCCATTCGTAAACCCGCTGAAGATGGCCGACCCGGCGGAGTGCACCATCAAAGTGATGTGCCGCTTTAGGCCCCTGAACAGCTCCGAGGTGGTGAGAGGAGACCGATACATTCCCAAGTTTCAAGGGGAAGAGGACGTTATTATCGGGGTGAGTCATCATCTGTTGAAGGTCCCCAACTACCTATTTGACAGCCTTCTCGAAGCGTACGCCATTTTTGATTGTCTTGCGGCTAGTAGTTGGTTAGCGCGTTAGCTTGTTGGCTAACGGTGGTGTTAGCTGTTAGCTAGCGCTGACCTGTTCACCGCTGCCTTACGCCGTCGGCCCTCCGCCGACGGCATTAAGCCGTTGACTCACTCGGTCTCCAAACCGTGGATAGTGGGCAATGGCACCCAACTTTAACATTTGAACAAGCCAGTCGACTTGCTGTTGGCGCAGAATGTCACTTTTTTTTTGCGGTTGCCCTGTCATGGCTAGCGAGCTGTCATTCAACAAAGCCCCAGACACATCGCCTGGCACAGGTTGCGATGTTGCCCCAGCCTTTAGCCTGCCTGTGCTGCACCCCCCGCACTACCACCGACACACCGGTTGATAAGCATCCGTGCATTCTGTAACGATTAAGCTGTTAATTATATGCGGTTTGCGTCAGCATGAAGCGGGACGCTAAGCCAGCTTTGATTTAAGATAGTCGTGGCTAACGTACTAGCAGGCTAGGCCAGCTGGTAGTTGACAGATTAGCCGGCCTTGGCTAGCTGGGTAGCTGTTAATACTTTTGCTTGATTTAAAGCTAATGTTAGTTAACGCTTGCTGGCTAGCTGGTACCACGGACACTCATTTGTTAGAGCACGTCCAGAACCTTTCATTGAATACAACATATAATAGACCTCCGTGGCCTATCTGACCATGATAACGTCATAATAATGTCATTGGAAAGGGAGCAGTCGAACTATATGCAGTCTTCTTCTTTCAGTGACTGGACATTTACAACACAGGCTCAACAAGTTCAACATTTTCAAGGCGTCCTGGTTTGGATCAAACTGAAGTTGGTTGTCTTTGGATTAATTAGCGGTAGAGATAAAGCACTTGATAGGGTAAATGTCATGTGCACAATTCCCACTATGTCAAAAGGAGGATGGAAATGTCCTTTCTATTGCTGTGCCATATTACCTCCCATTTTACTGAATCACAATTTGTCCAGAGATCAATTCGCATATGATGTGCACTGGATGCCTTGACATCTATACAGTGGCCTGGACGCTGTTTACATAACACAACCTGTGTTCTTGCCATTGCATTTCTCTGTACTACAACATCACGGCAGCATGCAAAAGGCCTTTTGTCTTTCCTAACAGCTAGCAATTAGAGAGCACAACAGCAGCTGAAATGTCCGGCTAACCTCTCAGGTTTGTACATGCTGAACATTCAAAAATATAATCCGGGTTAAACATTAGTTTTTCTTCCTGACGCCTTATTTTTTTGCGTGGACTTTGTCTTCACTCGCCCTTTTATCAAAGGAGTTTACTAGGCAATATAAACAGATCTTGAATTGCATTCACAAAGTTGTACGTTTTGGCTTAGTGGTTATGAATCATGATGTACATGACTATTCATTTTTTGTCATGCAACACACGAAAGACAAGACTATTCAAGAAGGCAGCTGTGGAGACTTCCTGAATAGTTGACACTATTTTGAGGACTTTAACAAATGGCGAGTGTGCTGCCTGCGCCCCTCTGGCATCATGTGGCCCAGCCCAGTTCAGAGTGCTGGTCATAGTCCCAAAATACCAGTGCATATTGTGAAGGATGCAAGTTTTCCAGTGTGGAGCTTTGCAGGCTCTGCCGCTGTATCTACTGTGAGAAGTAACTCCATCACAAGCCTCCTGGGTAATCCTCCTGTGTTCTCTCTCCTGGTCATCAGCTGTTGGACCAATCAGAGAAGGCAGTTGGCCGGTCACTCGTCACTCTCTGCGGGTGGGGAGGGCAATTGTTATGGTTATGTGCTTTTTCGGACGCTCTTATCCAGGGCGACTGACTCACATGGCCCGTATTTGTATCCGTTTTTGAAACAATCAAGGGCGTGGACCCTGTTTTAGGGCTGAAGCTGACCTCGCTGCGCCTTCTAGAGACGTCGAACTAGCGGCCTTACCGCTGCCGGCTGTGGTGCTTGCAGATATGCTTGGAGATATTACCGACCACAGAGATTTAGTTCTTCCAGAGCAGTACGCCCTCACTCAGCTGTGCGCTGCTTAAAAGTCCTGCCAGCTTTGTGGTGAGGGGAAATGAGGATGACAAAATTTGGTGTTGTGGGTGCCGTGAGTAGCTCCGTTTGCTCGCTAGGACTAGTGTGCAGCAGGTGAATTATTTATGTGTCCTTTACTTCCCTGTCAGTTTTGCACATAAAAGATAAGCCCCTCATTTTTTACTGTCATCTCTTGCATGCATACAAGTAGCCTGGTGCCCCCCCAGCCCTCCCCAGGACACACACATTTTTAGTGCAATGGTGGACTTGCGTGAGGCATAATTGAAAAGAAAAGGCTATGACTTAAAAAGAGATAAGTTAAAGTGATCATAATGCATTTAAACAAGTAAACAACCGACATGCATTGCAAAAGCAATTGACCTGTTATTTCCCTGCCAGCTGTATTCCAGGAAGCTAAAATAAAAACTAATGACTTATTTTGCATAACTGCACACAAATCCAATTTCATGCATCATACATTAAGAACCACGTGGCTGCTGCAGAATAACGTGCGTGTCTGTGTCCTGAATGGCTTTACCCGGGCAAATATCATAACAAAGTCATCGGAAAGCAGAGACGTGACCGAGCAGCTAATAATACTTTAACAATGCTTTTCGCTGTAATTACATTCTCGGCGAGTAATCCCATTAGACAGAAGTGTAGGTAACGATGCCAGTAGCAGTGGTAACAATGAGGACTTTAATCTGGGGCTGTGCCGTTTGCTGACAGCGTCTGGCAGTAATGATAGTGGCTCAGGCCTCTTGTTCTGGACAGGGTTAATTACCAGGATGTGGCTGCCGGGCTGAATGATCAATGTCTTAAGATGCTGCTGCTCTGTGTTCTATCGCGCTGTAATTTGGATGTGGCTGTCTGATTATGAGTTCTTAGCTTCATTCAGAGTTTAATGCCGCTGCGTGACATGTGTGGTTTCACCTTGAGTTATGAACAAGCCCGCGATCGTCAGTGACACCAGCTGCTTGTCACCATCCTCAGCCTTCTACCACACTCACAGGTTGTTAACGCTGAATCGATTCCTGATCTTGCCACCTGGGCGATCTCGTGGGGAGGGAGACAGTATTGTTCTTAAACTGCCCATTGTTAGAATCCCATCCATCAGGCTGGATACAAGAGGAGTTAACTTACTTCAAACCCCCAAAGAGAGCTTGGCATCTCGGTTGAACCTCAAGATTGCTTGCAACATCAGTTTTTTTATTACCCCTGCGGTCGCCCCTTTAAATCCAGCTATTGATTGCTATCACAATCACTATCGCTAACACTGCTTTGAAGTTTTGACTTGCCGGCTCTTAAGCCAGTGGTGAAAGCTTGGACTGTAGTATATTTGATTATGGTTGCCGTGCCGAGATTGTTGTAAAGAAGTTCAAATATGCCCGACCAATCAGAAATGAGTGTCGTGGTGAGAATGACCATGTAGCACGAGGCCCGTCTCACCGCTCATTTCCTGTCACCCTCAACACATCTGGAATGCCCGGTGTGCCACGAACAGATGTTAAAACACTTTGTTGTGTGTTGATAAAGTTGGTGCAAACAAGGAGCACAAACGGACACATGCATACAAATCGTGTCGCGGATTATTGCTTTGTATCGCACAATACTTCTTCGTTGTGGTGCCACAGCCGTCATTGACGCTCTTCTGTCTTCGTTTCAGGGCAAACCGTACATGTTCGACAGAGTGTTTCAGTCGAACACCACACAAGAACAGGTTTACAACGCCTGCGCCCAGAAGATTGTGAAAGGTGAGGTCTCACTCTTGATCGTATGCTCTCATCACCCAACGGCATGGACACAATACATGAAAGTGAGCGCAGCATTTTTAAACCAAAGCCTTCTGTCTCATAGATGTTCTGGAGGGATACAATGGGACAATTTTTGCATACGGCCAAACGTCATCTGGCAAAACGCACACCATGGAGGTGAGGATGACTTCTTTTTCTAAATCGTGTCGTGTTTTTGAACCAAGAAGCTTTGCTTTACATCGTCACGTCACATTTGTCCGCAGGGGAATCTCCATGACACGGATGCAATGGGCATCATCCCCCGGATAGTTCAAGATATCTTCAACTACATCTACTCCATGGATGAAAACCTGGAGTTCCATATCAAAGTGAGTAGTTGGGAGTGGCAAACTGGTGCTCTATTTCCCCTCCCAGTTCATCGTCAACATAAGTGATGTGTAACAGCTCATGCATTCCCTGTGTTTTGTCTTCACACATAATTCTACATACTTGGTGTAGAAAGAAGGCAAATTCAAAGTGGCGAGACTTTAACTTGAGTTCATAAAAAATACCAAACTAACTCATGTTGACTGTGAAAATATTACTGCGTATTCTTGTAAAACCTGTAAGTCACTTTGCTGCTGTTTTTATCATCCAAACATTTTGATAATCTTACAGCTGGGCTGCCAAATAATGGGATTTTTTTTTCTCTGTTCACAGGTTTCATATTTTGAAATTTACTTAGACAAGATCCGGGATCTTTTGGATGGTAAGTATGGCGATAGTGCAGTGAACACTGTAGATCTGGCTTAGCTGTACAACAGTAACAGATGTGACAGAACCGGCTGAAAACGATGTGTAAACACATCCATTTTGTTGTTAAATGTCTTTGACAATGGCGTCAACATGGGCTGCAGAAACGTGGAAATATATTTTTAAAAGCGTGTCATATTTTCCATTTTTGATGATGATGATAAGCAAAAAAATTATTTTGTTAAATGGAATTGAAGACTCTTCTCTCTGATGGCTAACGGCGATAGCATGTTTATTACACGGTACATTAACCTTCTGAGTCGAAGTTTTCTAGTTCCTACGTTTGCAAGTCAGCCAGTCGGGGAAACGATGTAGAATCAGTGAGATGAAATTGGAGGCATATCAGGGATATCACCTGCCAACATGCCAGGTCCATCTAAACGTCCTCTCACCTGCAGTGTCGAAGACCAACCTGTCGGTGCACGAAGACAAAAACAGAGTCCCGTACGTCAAGGTGAGACTCCACCTTCCTGTCGCACGTGTAATACCCAGTGAAAGGCGTTTGTGAGGCTCAACCTTCTGCTTCTCCGTGTAGGGCTGCACTGAGAGATTTGTCTGCAGCCCCGATGAGGTCATGGATACGATCGATGAGGGCAAATCAAACCGACATGTAGCAGTCACCAGTAAGATCTCTTCCCGTAGACCTTTGTCACAAATTCATTCACTGTATTTATTTTTTTATTTTTTTTCCCCTTTTGAGGCTGATGCGTTTGAACGACCCGAGCTCTGTTTCTCTTTCAGACATGAACGAGCACAGCTCCAGGAGTCACAGCATCTTCCTGATAAACGTCAAACAGGAGAACACTCAGACAGAGCAGAAGCTCAGCGGCAAACTCTACCTGGTGGATCTGGCTGGCAGTGAAAAGGTACAGACAAGCATCCCTCGTGGATATCGGTAGGCTCGTTAACCTGGGCCCTTTCGGTGGCCCATCCCCGCCCCTGTATTGTCTACTTGTTCTTCAGAGTGACTGACTTTAGGACTGCGTTGAGGTTTCTTGCTGTTCAGGTTTGTTCAGGTTTCTCTATGTTCTCAGGTCAGTAAAACGGGAGCAGAGGGATCTGTGCTGGATGAAGCCAAGAACATCAACAAGTCTCTGTCGTCTCTGGGAAACGTCATCTCCGCTCTGGCCGAAGGAACGGTCAGTAACTCTTTGACTCTCTTCGGCGGGTCGTTTTTTTGCTTAAATGCACGTGTTGTTCTGCGGGGTTTCATCTCCTCATTTGCTGTGTTCACCAAAGCATTCCTTCCCACAGTATTTTAAACGTGATTGGCTTCGGGAGTGGCGTGTATTAAAGCGATGCTACAAATGCCAACCGCATTACGGTGGGCTTAATGGGGCCCTCGTGTCTGGTGCACCGGACCGAACGCGCTGTGAGATAATAGAGTTGATCTGAGTCTGAACAACTCCGTGATATCACCCGAGATGTTTGCTGGTCCATTAAATCCCACCGTAACCTCTGGTGAGGCTATAAAGCTTTCTCCCAAACGTATTCTAAACACCACTGTCAGTCAGTGTTTGCCAGCCGCGCAGCCCGGAGATGCTTTTCCCATCATCTAGAGGCCCTTTGTGTCGCAGAAACAACTTGAGCGGATAAGAGATTTCCTTGCAGCAATGTTTTTCTTAAATGCCTTTATAGTGATTTCACACTTTTCAATTTTAATCAACAATTGGTTTGTTCTTGAGCCCCTTGGAGCTGTAAACAACCTGAGGGAGAGAGGGGGGGGGGGGCTCTCAGATACACAAGTGATGGTCTAAAACAAGTAAGCTATTATGCAGAGATGCCTCACTGCGGACTGAGCCGTGTGGTGTCTAAAGAAGTATTGCAGGCTGCTTCAGCTTTGCCATTTCTCTCAATACTACTAATGCAAGTTAGTTTTTGTGAGAGTTGGTCCTCTTTTACCCGTGATGTTTGGTTAAATGTCCCTGCATTCGTTTGTGTGTTCGTGTACTAGGCCTACATCCCCTACAGAGACAGCAAGATGACCCGTATCCTGCAGGACTCTCTGGGTGGTAACTGTCGAACCACTATTATCATCTGCTGCTCGCCTTCCTCCTACAATGAGTGCGAAACCAAATCCACCCTCATGTTCGGACAAAGGTTGGTAGTGTAGCCAGGTCTCCTTTAATGGGCAGCCACACAAGTATTAATGATCATTTGGTGGCTGCTACATTTCTTTTTGGAACAATACAATGTTTGCGTTGAATGAAACCTGTGTTTTTGTTTTCTTCAGAGCAAAGACCATCAAGAACACGGTCACCGTGAACGTTGAGCTGACGGCGGAGCAGTGGAAGCAGAAATATGAGCGGGAGAAGGTGAAGAATACGACCCTGAGGAACACCGTCACCTGGTTGGAGAACGAGCTCAACCGCTGGAGGAACGGTGAGGCATTGGACTGCGTCTTTGACATGAGAAGATTCCTCAAAAATAGAAGCCAATTTACTTGACTACTTGTTTATTTGCTAGCGCAAAGCTCCTTGCACACTCCTACTCAACGCGTGTGCATGCGTATCCCCGCCTCAGGTGAAAGCGTGCCGGTGGAGGAGCAGTTCGACAAGGAGAAGGCCAACGCCGAGGTGCAGGCCCTGGACAACATAATCAACGAGAAGCAGGCCTCCACGCCCAACGTGCCGGGCGTCCGCCTCACCGACGTGGAGAAAGACAAGTGTGAGGCCGAGGTGGTCAAGCTCTACAAACAGCTGGACGACAAGGTGAGCCAGATGTGGGTTTGTGGTCTGTGGCAAGCACGACCGTCATCGTGAAAATAGATATGACAATTTAAAGCTGCAACATTCCTCTGGCTCAGCTGACTGATCAGGGGTTCAGCAGTCAATTATTCAGAGGGAATAATTGGTGTTCTTTTTATTCCGACCTACATTTTTATCGTCGGTCTCTCAGCTCGTACCAAATCGCCTCCAGTGATGCTTCTGGTGCCTGCTGTGAATATTAATGTCTCTTCGGGTTCCCGCTCTTTACAGGACGAGGAAATCAACCAGCAGAGCCAGCTGGCTGAGAAGCTGAAGCAGCAGATGCTGGACCAGGATGAGGTGAGTGGATGTTGATCAGCTGTAGGCCTCAAACCGCATATAATGTGTATTTAGGGCAATGGGGACAAATGTACTTTTTCTTTTTTATTATCAACGGTGTGTTTTGTGCATCGTAATAAATTGTCTTTGCCTGGTGTACTGCTATTAAAAATGTTTTTAATTCGAAACGCCAACAACATTTAGTTTGATGGAAACATTGTGAATATTGGCGCATTTGGTCCTGGACAAGTGGACTCTCGGCCAAACCATCGTCGTTTTACAGGATTGCCATCTGCTGACACGTGTGTGTGTGTGTGTGTGTGTGTGTGTGTGTGTGTCCGAATGTGCACACTCGCTGTCAACGCGCCTATGTCAGCAAATCTTGCCATTTGAATAATGTCCTGTTTTGAATAGCAGGAAATATTGTGGCATTGACATTATGACAAGCTTTTTGTTTGTCGACGGCGCAGTCGCTGTCTGCTGCCCCCAGATAGTAATGCACCCAACAAAGCCCCCGCCTGCGCCTCACTTTAAGGCCAACACACCCATGGGTGCACAGATGGGCACAAGTACACGTGCTACCTTAAGTCATCGTATAATTTAACAGTTAAAACAAACAAAGATGTGCGCTTCAGAGACATTTGTACCAGACTAAACATTATTTTATGCTGTCAATAAGGTCATTTCATTACAGCCCTAAAGGTTGTCGCTTTGCCCTCATTGCAATTGTCATAATTATTTGCTGGTATTTAGTAGCAGACTTAACGGGCTCGTCCATATTGTGCCTATTGTAATAAATACTGACTACACCCTAATGCCTTTTTTAAAAGGCGCAACATAATTAAACCTCTTCTCTCTCCTGCTTGCAGCTTCTAGCCTCCTCCCGCCGCGATCACGAGAACCTCCAGGCGGAGCTGAACCGCCTGCAGGCGGAGAACGAGGCCTCCAAGGACGAGGTGAAGGAGGTGCTGCAGGCTCTGGAGGAGCTCGCCGTCAACTACGACCAGAAGAGCCAGGAGGTGGAGGACAAGACCAAGGAGTTTGAGGCCATCAGCGAGGAGCTGAGCCAGAAATCGGTGAGCTGCAGCTCAATGAGTCTCTGCGGTGTTTGTGTTCATACGCCTCGTTACATGCACACGGATATCGCTGGCACAGCTCATTTTGAGGGGCCGAAAGGTAAAATCTGCACAACGTTCTCTGCCCCCCCCCCCCTCACCCTCCTCACCCCTGCAGTCCATCCTGTCCTCTCTGGACTCTGAGCTTCAGAAGCTAAAGGAGATGTCCAACCATCAGAAGAAGAGGGTGACCGAGATGATGTCGTCGCTGCTCAAAGACCTCGCTGAGATCGGCATCGCCGTGGGCAGCAATGACATCAAGGTACTGCCGTGCCCTGTGAATGGTTACTATAGCAACACTCGGGCTGCAGCAGCAGCGACACAAGCTTCCAGGAATTTTGTTGAAAAAGATTGTCGCAGCAAGAGAAATCTCAGTTTAGATACTGAACACCAGGGACTGTTTCTTTCCTTCTTCAACTTTTGTTCTTCCGCCTTTCCAGCAACACGAGGGCAGTGGCCTGATAGACGAGGAGTTCACCGTGGCCCGCCTCTACATCAGTAAGATGAAGTCAGAGGTGAAGACCATGGCGAAGCGCTGCAAGCAGCTGGAGGGAACCCAGTCAGAGAGCAACCAGAAGATGGACGAGAACGAGAAGGAGCTGGCTGCCTGCCAGCTGCGCATCTCCCAGGTTCGTAGAAACAAAGAGAAATAAAGAGAGACTCATTTCATGCAGGTCATATGCATCAACACCTGTACCGTTTCCTCTCTCTGCAGCATGAGGCGAAAATCAAGTCCCTGACGGAGTACCTGCAGAACGTGGAGCAGAAGAAGAGGCAGCTGGAGGAGAACGTGGACTCTCTGAATGAGGAGCTGGTGAAGCTCAGCGCTCAGGGTATGTCAGCACTTTCACTTCAAGGCCATTGGAGGCCTATCGCATGAACGCTAGCTTTGGAATACAAGTTGAACAGCTTCTTTCACCTAAACGTCCCTATCCAACTTAGAGATTTGAGATCTGCTTGTTTGCTAGGAATGATTTTTATGTTGATTCATCATGCGACTGAATTTGAGATCCAGATTGTGTTGTTTTAAAATGTGGTGTGTTATTCCTGCATTTCGGTTTCACAGAGAAAGTCCACGCTATGGAGAAGGAGAGTGAGATCCAGACTGCCAATGAAGTCAAGGTATGTTTCTCGGCCCCACAAAACAATAAACGCAATAAACACAGATTCTATGAGAAAAGTAGATGTTGACTTTGTTTCTGTATCCCGTCTATTTGTTTCATGTATGTCTGCATTCGTGTGTGTTCAGGAGGCGGTGGAGAAGCAGATCCACTCTCACCGCGACGCTCATCAGAAGCAGATCAGCAGCCTGAGAGATGAGCTGGACAATAAGGAGAAGCTCATCACCGAGCTGCAGGAGTAAGGCTTCTTGTTCCTTTCTCCATTGTTCACAAATAGAATGATGACGGCCGCCAGGTGAAAGGAAGGTTTATTTGAATGCTTTTTCAATAATACTCGCTGCTGTGTGGTCTCCCATCAGTCTGAACCAGAAGATCATGCTGGAGCAGGAGAGGCTCAGAGTGGAGCACGAGAAGCTCAAATCCACCGACCAGGAGAAGAGCCGCAAGCTGCACGAGCTCACGTACGTTCCTCCCACTGCTCCACGCGGGCCGCCGTCTTCCCTCTTGACGACGCGTTCCAGTTTCACCGACACGTAGCAGCTCATAGCGGTGTTGTGTTTCTTTTTGGTGTTTACTGTTGGTTTTTCTTGCTGCTCAGGGTGATGCAGGACAGAAGGGAGCAGGCCAGGCAGGACCTGAAGGGTCTGGAGGAGACTGTGGTGAGTTCCTCTAAATCAACTGGTGTCTTTGTCGCATCAGACAGGAGAGCTCTTTCCCTTTGGAGGTGTGATGTCACACCCACACGTGGCAACGCCAAAATGAAAAAATCATTATTAGTTTTCACACTACATTAAAAATGCTTACAAATGACCAATTCCAGGTTTTAAGAAATTGACAGATATTTACTTAATTTACATTCTGTTCCAACCATCTCTATCTAGTTGATTTGTTTTCTTTTTTTTGAATCCAAGGCCAAGGAGCTGCAGACTCTGCACAACCTGAGGAAGCTCTTTGTCCAGGACTTGGCTACCAGAGTGAAAAAGGTAAACCGCTGCGATTTGTAGATGTTTCGTTGACAAGCAAAGCAAGCCTGTAGTTCTCTTGCGGTGTATTACTCCAGTCCTCATGCTGGTGTTTTATTCCACCGTGCAGAGCGCTGAGATGGACTCTGACGACACCGGCGGCAGCGCGGCACAGAAACAGAAAATTTCCTTTCTTGAGAACAATCTTGAGCAACTCACCAAGGTTCACAAACAGGTAGGACATCAATAAACTCACCCGCACCAAGCTGAGGGATCAATGCTGTTTTTCTTCTTTCTCTGCCTTTCACTCCTTTTGTTTGTTTGTTCCACCATCTTCTCGGCCTTTTGTCCATCAGGCTTCATTTAACTCTATTGCCAATGTCCCCCACAGCTGGTACGTGACAATGCAGACCTGCGCTGTGAGCTTCCGAAACTGGAAAAACGCCTTCGCGCTACGGCTGAGCGGGTCAAGGCCCTTGAGTCTGCTCTGAAGGAGGCCAAAGAGAACGCCGCCCGTGACCGCAAGCGCTACCAGCAGGAGGTGGACCGCATCAAGGAGGCCGTCCGGGCCAAGAACATGGCCAGGAGGGGACATTCGGCCCAGATCGGTAAGAGGCGCCTTCTTCTGCGATGGGAAGGATGCACGGTCCGCAGTTCCACCCTCACTCTCCTCCTCTTCCTCCTCCTCAGCCAAGCCCATCCGGCCCGGGCAGCAGCCGGTGGCGTCTCCCACCCACCCAAACATCAACCGCAGCGGGGGGGGCTTCTACCAGAACAGCCAGACGGTGTCCATCCGGGGAGGAGGCAGCAGCAGCAGCAGCAGCATCGCAGGCGGAGACATTAAGCACGAGAAGAAGTAAGCGTCACACACGGAGGGTTAAAGTTCGATGCTGGTACCGAAGAAGGAAGCACTGAAATGTGAAAGCATTAAATATTTCTATATTATGATTTATGAATAAAGTGTGTGTGTGTCGTCTAACAGCTTCCCTTTCTCTCTAAATGTCTGCAGCTAAGAGCGACGGCACTGAAGGACGACACCACTGAAGAAGCCGATATCGCCCCATCTGACAACGCGTCATTCCAGGACAGCGGACAAGCTCCTCGTCGCTGCTTTGGAGCCACGAAGAAGTCTCTGAAATATGACTATATTTATATATATATATATATATATATATAAATTTTCCCGGCCTGTACAGCTCCATCCACTCCCGCCCCCCAATTCTCATCATGACTTAACTCTTTTCCTCCTGGATGTAATAGTATTAACAATAAAAACAAAAAAACAAAAAAAAGAACATTGAATTTACAAAAGGCAAGATAATATTCGTATCCACGAGCACCTCAAACGTGGAGCCTGGGCTTCTCTTTTTTTTGTTTTTGCACTATTGTCATCCGTGGTGGTCGTCGTCGTGCGAGTGGTTCTGCACTGTGACAACAAACAAATGAAAACACAAGCTAAAAATGATGAGATGAGAAAAACAAGGAGACCCAGCTCGGCCCTGTAGGCCAACCTCTACGGTTCATCGCTGAATGGAAACCGCAAGAGGAGGGATTAAATATAAAAACCCACAACGTGCGACAGCGTAACTGTAGATTTATTTAGCTAAACACCTGTCGAGGCCAACTGTTTATTTTAAAATAAAACCTGTACTCACTGCTGGTGACTTGATGAGAAGGATGTAAAGAATGTAGGTGGGGAGGGAGGAAGAGGATGATCCGGTCAACACAAGACGCGCACACACTTAGCACAGCCCATGCTACGTAGCTATATGTGCTTTGGCCACTGGTCTCAGTGGTTTGTGCCGCTGGGAGCTCTCAGACTGAGATGTCACACACGGGCGGCTTCTCGCGTCGCCACTTTCCTTCATTTCATGATTTTTCTCCAGGGATGCCCCGCCTCTGTTGTTCTGGGGGGGGGGATTCTCCTTTCTTTCTTTCTTTGGTCTTCCCTCCCTCTCACTTGGTTGTTTCCAAGAGATTTTAGGACCTGTAACTGTGCGTGCCCTTTTTTGGTTGTAAGTTTGCAGAAAGCAATGCGTTTCGCTGGGTTTCTATGTACTGTATCTCTGTTGTTGTTCCATTGATGCTTGATTGGGGGGGGGGGGCGCTGACCCTTGCTGCTGATCAGCCAGTCAGGGGAGAGCAGGGTCTATGATTGCACAACCATCAAACTAAATCTAGTCGAGGGTTTTGGGATTCATTATATTTTATTGTCTTTGTTGTGATTTTTAATTCCCACCTTGTTTTTGTTTTTTAACCCGGTAAAGCTCCGCTGCATCGGCCAAGAGCCCGTTGGGATTGTCAGCCCGGCTTGACGACACTTACCATCTCGCGCAAGTGCAATACACTGAAAAGAATACACTGTATGTCAGGATGGGTTTGCAGCCCCCACCTCCCCCACTCCTCTTGATTGTTGCTTACCTTTGGCCCCCTGTAGGACTAGAAAAGCTAGACGGTGACTCGGCAGGTCTATCGCTCGCAGCAGAGGAGACATCGGATGCGTCAAAAAGCTTTTAGAAAGTTTCTAACTACAGCCTGTTTTTGCTGAGACTAGTGCAACAACTCTAGCTTAAAAAAAAAAAAAAAAAAAAAAAGGCTGGGGGGAGGGGTTGATTTCTCTCCATCGGTGTCTGCTGTTAACGGGAGAGTCGGTTTGATGGCACTTCTTCACCTCGTGTGCACTCCGTGTGTGGCTGTTTCTGGTTTATTCCCTCTGTGTAATCTTCAACATTAGTTAAGACTTTGCAGCATGGACCTCAACATGTTTATCCTTTGACCTGTCACCAAAACTGGACGTGAAATGAGGGAGGGGGAGTGGAGGTGTAACTGATAATAAAGAACCCAGCAAAGAATAGTAAAGGTGTTGACCTGAATTGGATCGCCCATTAATTCTAAATTTGAAAACAAAGTGTAGCCACTTTTTTTTATTACTGTGTAATAGTTGGTCATTTTTTAGAGGGTTTTGAGGATCCATCAGTGGACAAGGTACTGGATCATTCCTGGACAACTGGGACGCAAAGAGCAAAGACTTGAGATGGGAAGTTCATGACATCAGTTTTGGATTGATTGCATGATGTAAATGTATGTGTGATTAAATAATTATGAGAAAGCACCTCTGTTTTTGTGTTTTTGTAAGATTGAGCCATTATTACATATTTGCACCGTGATGTTATTACATGATATTTTACATAATTCTACTGGGGGCATTGCTTTAGAATTCATGGAGCACTTGAGACACGCATCTAAATGATTGTTAAGTCCCTTTGCGTTTTTTTTTTTTTTTTTTGAAAAAGTGCCTTCGAACAGATCATGCTGAAAGGGTTACAAATCCCAAACTAAATTTGGTAGTTTTGATCAACGATGCGATGAGGTCTATCTGGATGAAAGTGGATAATGTTTGTTTGTCCTCCACGAACATCAGGTCAAGTTTTTCAGTTTCGTAATTGGGCAACCATGAGTTGAAGTGTAACCACCACTCAGTCACTCCCAGATTTGCTCTACTTAAAGAAATTAAATTAAATAATTATGTCTGCCCACATGGCGCACTCACCCGCTCTCCCCTGGTTGCCTGGCAACTGGTCCTAGCCAAGAAGTAGTCCGGCACATAATCCCCTCTAAAACTGAGATTTCTTTTTCAGAAACCACATGTAAAATGTTAGTAAGTGGGTTTTATATCTTCTGGGTCGGGATTTACGCTTCCATATTTTTTAGACAGAGCAGGAACAATTATTCTGTGTCTCTGCTAACCTGCTAAGCTAAGTTCGGCAATTGATGCGAACGTTTTAGCTTATTTAGCTTACTTATTATACGGACATGAAACGATCACCAAAAGCTAAAAATGGTCACGCAAAATGTATGCGATATAACGGCAGTGGAGAAAAAACGCAAAGCAAAAACTGAAGAGTTACCATTGTAATAATTTATTAAAATAGTGGTTCTGTATTTCAACCATCGGGTGGCGCTGATTCCCTGTTTGCGTCCCATGACGCAGGACCACAGACTCACAAATTAGACAGGAGCTCTCACTCTAAAGGGATTCCGAATCAGCATATTGAGACGCTTTAAATAACTACATTCAAAAACAAAAACTAATAAAACAGGAGATAATCGATAAACACCAACTCTTCGTGGGCAATATTATTTAAATGGGACATGTTTCAATTTTGGTTAAGATATGCCACGCGATCGTCCTCTACCCCGGAACGGTCACCATGGTAACGGAAAAGTTTACACATCACGTGGTTGCGTGTCATTTTTACTGTGGCAAAAAAAAAAAAGTGGAGTGCCATGTCTTCAGAAGAGACGATCTTTGCTCTCCGAGGTAGTTGCCAAAGTTGTCGGGGCAGGACGCGAGCACCGCTGCGGATTACACCGGCCAGGGAAGAGCAGGAGAGACGGGCCGACCGGACGCGCGCACCGAAGCAGTTTCCTGACGGTGGTCGGTACACCGGAAAGTTTTTTTTTCCACGGGCGGGGTGTATTTTCACACCTCGACCCCCCCCCAGGGGGAGCGCGTCTCGGTTGTCGGCGTTACCCCTCGCAGTGTCCCGCCCCAGGGGAGAAGGTAAGAAGGCTGACGGCGCTCGGGAGACCGAGGAATGTTTTAGCAGGGAAGCTAATTGGCTAACTAAGCTAACGTTAGCAGCTAAATCAAAGCGGTTGAGGGCTGCGGGCTCCGCGGTGGGACCACACAGCGTGGACGCAAGTTTCACATCGCTACCGAGGTGAACAAAAAGTACTTTATATCGCTTATTAAGTTTAGATTAAACGTTTTACAAATACCAGGAACTAGTTAAGTAACGTAATCCCTGTTGGAATGCTAGCCAACGCGCCTCGTCCCGCCACATGAATCCACTAACCGCTGTGTGAGGTTTATTTACCTCCGCTGGGGCAGTTGTTGTGTGACATAAAGTTGGCGTGGCTGTCACGGTGTCCGCTGCTTTGACCTTTGGCTTTGGGACCGATAGCAACGTGCGTGGGAACTCTCCTCCTCTGTGGAGGTTTGAAGAAAAGTGAATCACAACAGAAGTTTTATACCAAGAGGAAACATGCGACCGAGGAGTCAGCTGCTTTTTCTTATTGTAAATTATGTTATAAGGGAAACTAAAAATGTGTTGATTTCTGACCTTCTCACCTGTAACAAATAAGCAGCAGGCAGATGTCACCATGTGCTTTGGTCTCTGACGGCCTGCAGCTCTAAATCAGACTAAAATATCAAAATGACACGGTGTGCCATGTCTGTTGTGAACCTCTTTGTTATGACAGCGAGCTGACGTCTCGTGGATACCAACCCCCCCCTCCCTCTCATGATGCCCTTCTTCCCCAACATCAGGATACCTGCCCGGATACCTAAACGCGTATCAGATAGATTTGACTTCATTCCCATAGTCCACATACAGTCCCCTGCAGCTGGCGGCAGTTTTGTTGATGTGAGGTGGGGGGGGGACACGGGGGACGCGGGGGACCTTGAGTAGTGTTGAGGAGAGTCCTAAGTGGGACAGGCTGTGCTGAATCCAGGCTGTTTGGAGCGCCGGGGGCCTGTATTTGGTGTGGCTACGTGTGAAGGTCGCCGCGTTCTTTGCCGCTCTGCGATGTTACAGAAAGTGTGACTCCAGATTCCCGTTGGTTTTGAGGTTCAGTTGACCCAAAAATGACAGAAAGACGCACCACTCTCTGACGAGCAACGCTGGTGTTTGGTATCTGTCTCTAAAAGGTGTGAGATCCCTTCTTAAAAGCATGAAAAATCAGGATATCATTACAGTTGTGCAACCTGTTTGTGGTCACACAACGTTAGCACTCAACATTCTCTTTGAGCCATTACTTGTTTTCCTGGCTGAAGTGGTTCCAATGAATCCTGCAGATGTTGGTGATGGCCTTGTGTCTGCCCAGCTGACCTCTTGGCTGCTCTGTACACGACACCGTGTGACCATTTAGCGTGAGCCCAGTGGGCCTGATTTCACTTATCTGCAAATAACTCCATCACGACAGCAAAATAACTCGCATGGAGTAACCGCCGGCTGAACCCTACCCGGCGTCATGTGAGCCGTGGTCAAAAACTTCCCCAGGTACTGCTTCAAATACTCCCACACTCGTTTCCCCTCCTGTCTCTTCAGCCGACGCCCTTCCATCGTGTCCGATAGCTCTGGAGGTTTTAATCCCCCCCCCCCTCGACTTAGCATTACCATTGCATCGAATTAAAGTGCGTCCCCTGACTTTGCAGATTGGACTCTGGGAAGATTTGTGAGCTAAATGGCTCCGTTGATGCTGCAGCTTAATGAGTGAAACAGACAGCAGCCTCCAGGCGCCGATCCTTCTGAATACCACAAAGTCTTTGACATACGAGCTGTAAAATCATGCAAAACTGCCTTAAAAAAAAAAAAAGCTCAAATCTGTCAGTTAATTATTGGTCCTTAGATGTTGTACATTTGCGTGACCTGTCGGACAGGTTTAAGATTTCCCTTGAAGGATATTGACGAGGAGCAAATGAGTGATGAGGAAACAACCGGGGTGAAATGTTGCAGTGCAACATTGTGCAGGAAATGAGCCGTCTTCTTTCCGCTGCCGGGACTCAGAGTGGCAAAGTCTCCCGACCTTTTCAGGGGCGAGCGCCTGGAACAGAGCGCCTGGCGGTCGATGTTGAGTAGGCGGAGAAAGTCTGGCCCGCTGTTTGCTCCAAGTTATTACTCCCAGAACTGGTTGGCAGTACAGAAATGTGACAGGTTTGACCAAAGTCACTGTGCAGAGCGCAGACATTTTATATGAAGTGACGGATTGTGAAAAATATCACGCTTAAGCGTGGACGACGCAAGCGAGGGCTGATCCCGATCATTCTAATTGATCAACCTATTCCTACTGTGATGTGTAAGGGCTTATTATCTTATCTAAAAATCAACCTCGATGTCATTCAACGCCCAGAAGCCAGCAGAATCAGCACGTCGCAGGTTACAGACCCCCCCCCCCCGCGGTGACCCTGTCAGGAGCTATCACGACGGTGCCATCGCCGCTCGGCACGAGTCTTTATTAAGCTAATGCCAGACCGGGTTTGGTCTCCGATTGGCTTTGGACAATGTTCCCGTTCCACCACAAGTTCAACTGCACTACAAGGAGTAGCTGCAGAAGTGTAAAATACTACACACGTGGATGTAAGAAGTGAACGTCAAAATTGCAGTACTGTCTTGTACTGTCTTGTTGGTTTTAAACATAAATCATTGGTCAATGATTTATGTTTAAAAGAGAGATTATGTTTCTACGGTGGGAAGTTTTTTTTTCTCTCCTTTGAGGGATTTGTATTATAAATATTTTTGCAGGAAATTTAATTTCCGAGATCCAGAGCATTCCTGGGATGTGCTGTCATGATTTCATAACGTGGCGTTTCACTACACCTCTTCAGCTAGAGAGTGATGACAAAAGAAGATTCTCGTAAGGCCACAAGAATGAGTGTCGCTCCACAATGTTCCACTAGCAGCCTGGAGATGTGGCGGCGTTGCCTGAGAGTGGGAGCTTCTATCGTCCAGCTGGATGAGTCACACGGTGTAGAAACGCCTGGACGTTGAAGCCTGTCGCAGCCGCGATTGTTCCTTCTTCAAGTGGCGTGACTTATCGCCGTGGAACGACACGACCGTAGCTCAGCTGGGAAGAATCTCTTTCCTCATTCTGGAGCTCCAGGTGTTTGTCTTCGTCGCCGCTTGGATTATTATTGTTGCGCAACTCCAGCTCGCCCACGATGCTCCCCACAGATCAGACCTGGCTTCTTGCATGAAACGCTCCTTGTTCACACCGGCGTTTGTCGAAATAACTTTTAGAAGCTCAGCTTGCTCAAGGTGTGCTGGAGCCCCACCTCATGACGTAAGAGAGAGCGAGCGAGCGAGCGAGTGTGTGTGTGTGTGTGTGTGTGTGTGTGTGTGTGTGTGTGTGTGTGTGTGTGTGTGTGTGTGTGTGTGTGTGTGTGTGTGTGTGTGTGTGTGTGTGTGTGTGAGACTGCAGCAGAAACTATGCGTGTGTGATCTGACTAACCCGACCGCTCAGGAGCGCCATGCCTCACTTGCTGCTGGACTCGCCGCCCCGGGCGGAGCGAGTCGGAGGTGGAAGGAGCCCACCTGAGCCCCGTCACTGCCTCCGCTCCTCGTGTCTCGCCTTCTGCGGCGCTCCGAAGCCTTCAGGAGGATTAAACCTCTGTTTGTCTTCTAATCATTCGGTCTGATGAGTTGATTCGGCTCTAAGAGGCTTCTTGTCACCTCTTGTGGTTAATGAGTATATAACCAAAAGGTTACGGACAACATTTATATGTGTATCTATATTTTGTACAATTGGTTTTCAGTCGATTCTTAGCCGCTTCTGCAAATGTTCAACAATTCATTTTATTTTATTTTATATAGTCCAAAATTGCATATTACAAATTTGCCTCAGAGGGCTTTACAGTCGGTACACATGCGACATCCTCTGTCCCCAAAACCCTCACATCGGCACAGGAAAAACTCCCCAAAAAATGAAAACCCTTCCACGGGGGGAAAAAGGGGAAGAAACCTTAGTGAGAACGTCAGAGGAGGATCCGTCTCCTGATGGACAGACTACAATGGACGTCACAGAATGAACAATGTAAAAGATTTACAATACATTCAATTCCTTTTACAGAAATTATTCAAATAATTGCGAGTAGCAAGCCAGATGTACGGCAGGACCACTGCCGTGACAAACAGTAGGCAGGTACAACCACCATCAGGTAGAACCACCATCCGCAGAAGCCTGTGGGGAGGGAAAGCACAAAGACTTTAGGAGAGGCTAATGTTGGTTTATGATGACAGTAATATGTTTAATATTTAAAATAATAATAATGATGATGTCAGCAGCAGGTGTCAGCAGGGCCACGGCAGGTGTCAGGACCTGTCAGGACAGGGTCCAGAAGGAACTACGATCTACGGGAGAAAGCACAAAAAACTCCCGGAAAGAAGCTGAATTGGTCATGTGCATTAATAAAACTTGGATTATTGTAGAAAGAGAGAGGAGCTCGATGTGTCCTAAGAAGTCCCCCAGCAGCCTAACTGTATAGCAGCTTAACTAAGGGCTGGTCCGGGCTGACCTGAGCCAGCCCTAACTATAAGCGTTATCAAAGAGGAAAGTTTTGAGCTTTATCTTAAAAGTGAGTGTCTCTGTGCTGAAGGATGTCACACCCCTTACCCCCCCCACCCCGCCCCCTCTCCTCAAATGTGATACATGGACACTTACTTTGGTCCCTTGTGGTTTTCCCTCAGGAAACAATGCCGATAGAGGTCTTCCTTAGGCGGTGAGCCGCCCTCCGGACAGTCCGAGGCGTCATGGCGGAACTGCCTATAGCCCCGGGCGAGGTCTACATCGAGGTGGAGTACGACTATGAGTACGAGTTCAAGGGGCGCTTGGTCGTCATCCAGCAGGGGGAGTGCTACATGCTGGTGAAGAAAGCTAACGAAGACTGGTGGCAGGTGAAGAAGGAGGAAGGGACCAAATCCTTCTACGTGCCCGCGCGCTACGTCCGAGAAGTGCGCAAAGCCCTCATGCCGCCTCCGAAACCTCTCCAGCATCCTCCCCCCGCCGCCGCCGCCGCCACCACCGGCCACACGCCTCCGCGCGCTGTGGGGGCGCTGTGGGTGAAGCCCACCACTCTGGAGCTGGCGCCCCACGGCCCGTCCACCGAGAACCTTCACCGGCACGAGTCCGGCTCCCGGCGCTCGCCCTCCGCGCACACCGCCTCCTCGGGGCATTTCAGTCCGCCCCGTCAGCGCCGGGGCAGCGACCTCCACCAACCCCACCCCCCCGGATCCCCCACCGACCACGAGCGGCCTCTGCCGGACGTCCTCGGCGGAGCGCCGCAGCCCCCTCCGAAAGGCGGCCACGGCAGTCTCCCGCTCAGCCGAGCTCGATCCCCGGACCTGGGCCGGGCCCCTCTGGACGCCGACGCCGCCCGGCACTGTGACTCCGCGGGCGAAGAGAGACGCACCAACGACTCCGAGTCGGGGGACGAACTGAGCAGCAGCTCCACGGAACCCCCCCAGGTAAGAAGCCTTTCACCAAATGTGGATTTCCCGGCCTTAGTTTGTGCTGTTGATTGTTTGAATGGTTTAATCCACGTGGAGCTCTCTGCGTTCATTTTGACTTTTAGCCCCCCCCCAACTTCCCTCGTTCATTCGTTCATCCAGTTGTGTCTGTGCAAGACTTTAAAAGTGTGTTTTGTGCAGCTGGTTCTCTACATTTCTGCCGTGTTTGAGCGACCTGACTTGGACATTACTTGTGGGGGGGTCCAGAAATCATTAGCTCAGGCTGCTCCTGAACAAGAGCCAGAGTGAGAATAGAAACTGGCCCTTTGTGGTTTACGCCTCCCTCTTTGTGCAGACAGGAGGGGGCCTGTAGTTCAAGTTACATAAATAGTCTTACTCTTTTCAGTGTTTTTCAAGGTGAGGAAGCTTGAGAGAAACTGCTGTAGGCCGAGTGCAGCTCGTTCCCATGAGATGCTTTGAGAATTTTCCAGGCCAAGTAGATTCTGCTTAACTTTGCGTAAATGACTGTTGATACTCACACAAACTTCCCTTTCCTCACACGGGGGTCGTAAACTTCTCAGAAACCTCTCGCTCTGTAAGAAGGGAAAGGTCATCAAAAAGTGGGTGAATGCGTGCGAGTTCCTTCCTCCCCGTAGCCGCCGGCCGCCATTCAAACAGCAGGAGAAAAGGTCACGGTGGTGGAGCTTGTTCCGGTAATCTCCACCACACATCACAAGTGAACGGTGTGATTTATTTTTCATTCTACAACAAATTAAAAAAAAAAGACACGTTTTATATTTTTTGTTGCTTGTTAAAACTCTTGATACTGTCTGACAACTACGTCGTGTCTTTACGTCTCCAAACCAACGGCTGTTGCTCCCAAACGTCTACTGAATGTAGCAGCGGGCGCGTAAATGCAGGAAGTAGAGCGTGAGTTTTCCAGCAGAGGATTCCTTTACGGCTCGTCCAGCTGATGAACTCGCTTGCTTTTGAGGAGTAACGAGTGCGACGGAGCGGAGTGGACCACCACCTACCCCCCTCTGTACGCGACCCCGGAGCCCACTTTGTCACCACTTTAGAGGCCGGTCGGCCATCAACAGCCGCCGCTCTCCTCGTGCTCCGGGCGTTACTCGTTGGCGCTGGTGTGATTCTGTCCTCCGTCAGCGGCTTAATTCAGATGTTGTTTTCAAGCTCCCTGCTTATTGTGAACTTTTGTGTGGATCAAGAGTCTTCTTTAATATCATATTTCCTTCTGCTGTCATTAGGTCGTGAATTTATTTATTTATTACTATTCGTGGAGTTTCCTTTTGTTTCTCTTTCCTTTTAATTACTTTGATCCAGTGGAGATGATTGGAAGTAGCGTTTCATCGATCCTCGGTTCAGAGACGTTCCTCGATGCTTTCGCGTGTTGGTTTGCGTCTTCAAGCCGCCACGCGTTGGACTTTGTTCCCACCCGAGCCGGCGCTCCCTCCAGCCATCCAATAGAAAGGGCCGTCCAGGTCTCAGTGTGTTTTAATTTTCTGCTTCACCGCACCTCCTCTGCTCTGCTGTTTCTTTATCCTCGCTCATCTGCCTCCAGGATGAAAAGAAGCTAAAAACACTCGTCTGTATGTAAGAAACTCCCCTTTTCAGTTTTCACTTCTGTGAAATGTTTAATCCTGGCAGCTGAACCCTTTTCTCTTTCATGTCCTTTTGTCTCCCGTCACGTGAGAACACGTCTCGATATCGGGCGTTATTAAATAACGGGTGAGAGCTTCCAGGTGGCTCTTCGCGGGATGACGGATCGGAGGAAGCACTTCCTCATTCCTTGGCAGGAAGTCGCGCCTCTTGTGTGCACGAGGTCGTTAAACGCATCCGTGAACGTCAACGCACGTCCATCGCACATGTAATGAGTCATCTATTAATTCTATACACACACACAGTCTGAGGGATCGATTAACTAGAGCCAGACCATCTGCACTGTCGATCCTCTTTTTCCTTATTTGTTTAAAAAGTAGTTTTATATCACATGCTGCAACCGTCGCAGGGTTATTTAGAGGCTGAGTCATCCTCTCTCTCAGCTACTACTTCAAACGCCTTGCTCAAGGGCACTCGAGGTTGACAACTCGAACGAGCCGTTCATGCGTGTGTCCTCCGTCCCGCTGGCCTCCTCTCGCTGCGTCATGTTTCCTGAAAGATTGTGGGTGGATTACGGCCGGTGACCTGCCGTCACCGAGCCTCTTCTCTCACATCTGGGTCAGCGCTGAGCCGCCGCCGCCGAGCCGTCTCCTCGTTGATTGTTTATTAGATTGTTGTCGAGAAAAAAAAACGGTGAAAAGTGTCCCCGTCTCCCAGAGCGACGTCATCGTGTTGAAGTCCGATTAAAAATAACAAAAAGTCTCATTTCAGGGGAAAAATAAACTGTATCTTATAGTATTCTTGCTCGATTGGGCGTTTCTTTTTTATTTGGGGCGTCTTCGAGCCTCAAGGTGACTTTCACAGATGTCCCCTTTATGGAACGTCACGTTGAGCAAACAGCGACTCATCGGGGAAAAGGCCCCTGTGGGGGCGTCGGCCCGCGTGCTCATTACTAACGTTCTGAAGCCGCCCGGAGGGGTTTATTGCTCTGTTCTCAACCTGAGCGCACACACACACACACACACACACACACACACACACACACACACACACACACACACACACACACACACACACACACACACACACACACACACACACACACATCACCAGCTGACCTGCTCCTCACAGTGTGTTTGGTGCTTGTGCAACTGAACAGTGGCGAGTTTGACTGTCTCTCTCTCTCTCTCTCCCTCTTTATTCACGCTCTCCTAAAGTTGCACCGAACATTAACATTTTGCCACTTGTCCCACCTGAGGGATCACCAGCTCCCTGTTCTGTTTGTATGAAATACATTCTGCTGTGTGGCAGACGGTCATGTGTGACATCTAAAACCATCTCACTCAACACTGTTTGTCTTATTGGATCTTGGGGCGTCCAAGTGAAAGCCCCACTTGTAGATCCATATTTTAGCCACGCGGTGATAAATCGATACCTCCCAGAGGTAATAGGCCGACGAGGAGCAGTCGGACGTATAATAAACGTCCTGGTGGTGATTATAGGGGATCGCACTGTGTGTGTGACTTCTTTGATTAGAGACACAGAGTGTGTGTGTGTGTGTGTGTGTGTGTGTGTGTGTGTGTGTGTGTGTGTGTGTGTGTGTGTGTTGGGGCGTCCTGTGTTCATCACGTATCCAGCCCCACTGAGCTCTCTCTCTCTCTCATCCCCCCCCCCTCCTCCCGTTTATGTAAGAACGTGTGAGTGAATAGTGTGTCTGTGTGCGTGTGTCGGGCCTCAGAGCGCCACAGTGGCATCTGAGTCGTGGCGAGTACGCTGCCCACCGTGTTTCACTCTTGTCTGCTGTCCTCGCCGGCAGCCTCCGGAGCCCCCAGCATGTACCCGGACGGGAACCAGACGGTAGGACGGCTTCTTCGCCTCGGCCTGTCTTTTGCGCGTTCGCCGCGTCCCTCCCAATGTTGAGTCCCGTCGGAGCGAAGCGGCCGCGCGGTGACTATCGCTCATTCCGGCGCCCTCGGGTGTCTTTTTCTTACTCACTGTGTTCGTCGCACTGTGACAGAATTATCTTTGCGCTGCCTCCTTCACGTTTCACCTGTCGTGCTCCTGCGCTCGCGTCCTGATCCCAAGTCACGCAAGCGGAGCGGTTTGTGGATCCCTGAAGTTCCGCACACGCGCCGGATCACGTGACCGTCCCTCCTCGGCCCCCGTGTCCGCCGTTGCATCCTTCGCGCGATAACGTCGATTAAACCAAAGCTGCCCTGCGGCCAAAGGCAGCGGGTGAGGAGGTCCCGGAGACGTCCTGTGAACCGGCGAACGGCGTGCAGCAGGACCGCTGAGAGGCTCAGGTCCGTTACATAAGAGCCGCTACGTAACGTTTGTTTGGACAGCTGGCTGTGAGACGGGCCGGGGGGGGGGGCAGAATATTCTATAATTGTACAGTCCGAATGATACTGATACGAACACAATGTGTTTTACGGAGTTATTAACTGACTGTAAACTTCACTCAAGTCTCTTAGAGTATAAATTTACTACTCAATTTAAAGTTTAAAGTAAAGATCTCGTTTGCAACTGACATAAACAAACCTTTCGTTTTTTGCGACTCATCAGAAAGTCAGAACTTTCAATCAGGAGGACCTTCTTTCTCGGCAGTGTTTGAACCACTAAACAGCGGGTGATGAATGAGGATCCTTCAGTGTCGTTACAGCATAAGGAAGCCAGTGTGTGAAGGGGAGTAATATGAACTGGCTGAGGATCAGTGACACGTCTCTCTCCCATACGTTCATCTCTAGATGGTTGAAAGGTGATTGTGTGGACGCAGCGAGGCATTAACGCTGTAATGTCAAATGGACACGCCTCTAGTTTCAATAAAACGTATTTGTCTTTAGGAGTCATATCCCGAGCACAAAGCGAATTGTCTCTGGATGTTTTCAGTCAACGTTTTAACACAACAGAACGTTCCCTAAATGTTGTGTTTGTTCGATGTGGAACAAGATTGCTCAGTTGTAACGTCTTTTTGGGCTGATAATTACTACCCAGACTGCTTCTTGTTGGGCTGAAACCACCTGAACGGTCCAGAGCCTCTTCCCTGTGTTTTCTCGTACCTGCTCAAGGCCGCCTCATTTGGAATTAATCCTAAATTACCTCCCGACACGTTTGGCCGGTTCCTGAAATCAACGCCTCAGTGGAGCCTTTTTAACCGCACAGCTCGCCATCGTTTCTGCTCATTCGTCTCATTGTGGGTCCTCTGACCCCGGGACGTCTGTGCCGAGCGGGGCGTCTGGAACTGGATGTTTCTGGTGAACCCGAAGAGAACGAACAGTAGAGCGTCAGTCGACCTGCACAGTCATGCTGGGAAATTAGCTGCACCCTGTCAGCTCTGCTTTGCTTTCATGTCGTGCTCCTCTCCTGCAGGATAAAAGCTCCACAACTTCCGGTGTGGACTG